TTTGAGAGAGAACGGACATGCCCTTTATGTCGGGCTTTAGTGAAACCTGCTGATCTCAAGTCTTTCACTGATGGATCGACAAGTCTATTCTTTCAGTTATTCTAAGTCGAGGAAGTTTTCTGCTCTGAAACAGTAACACTCGACTCGTCAACTCACAAGTCACAACTGTTCTGTTTTGTTCATCCCGTCTGTGCAGAACCGTGACTGCTTTTTTTGTCTATTGTTATCAGTAGTGACTTGTAGAAATGTACCGTCTGTTCATACCTCATAATGAGATAATGTAGCCAAGGCTCCTGTTGCTTGGAGGTACACTTGTTGAATGGTATTTGCAACATCTTGTGCCGTATGTAAAAGTTCTTGAATTGAAAAAGTCGTCAATTATTCTCATATCTCCTCTTTTCCCTTTTTTCCTCTTCACCCTTCTCGTGGAATTGGGTTGCTGGGTTTGAATATCTTTGCGTTTATACATGTTTGTAATTACTATGCCTAGGATAAGAAATATATTGCATAATCATTTTGATGTGTCAACTTTAAGGTTTGGAAGCAAACTTCCATTATCTCCTATACTTTAATAAGTGCAGTTTTCTCTACCCAAAAACATTCATCTGATCAATTGATATTTTCTTGTAGAATAAGATTTCGGTCTTGCTCTACATCAATTAAGAAAGACTAATGGTTATAATAGTAAAACTGGATATGTATTGTGCATAGGTGACAATGCTTGCTATATAGCAATCCACTGAAGTTGAATCGGACTTACATCAAAGGCCAAACAGGCTGATGAATTATGAAAACAACCCCAAGTAGTAGGCACCAATCAATCAATGAACCTAATTATACTCTTAACTCTAATTAAAGAAGCCGAAGGGGCAAGTGAGAATCGAATGAACTGTTATTTGGAATAGGAGGCTCGATTGCCAAATTGAATCCTCCTCTGTAAAGTGATGGTGTTGGTGCTTTCATCTGATTTAGGCGTGCTCTTAGAAAAGAAAGGTCGAAACTGAAGGAGTTGGATGATGGATTCCCCCTCTGCTGCTCATCAGCGGCTATTGTTAACATTCTCTTGTTCCTCAACTTAAAATCCATTGCATTTGCAGTATTAGAATGACAATAGTTCTCTAAAGCTAGTATGACTGGCCGAACATTATCATCCGATGATCTAATACTATTACTAGGAACGTCTTTTTTGGTGATCCTACTGTTGCAATGACTACTATGGAACATCTCGGTTTTCTGTTTCACTCCGAATTCATGGTCACAACTTATTTTTACTCTCTCTCCCGCATTTCGAGTATCATTTTGAGTATCTTGAGTCGAAGCAAATACTGGGTTTTTTTTGTGGAGGTAGAGTAAAGGATTGCTTTTGTTGCCTGCTGTTGGAGCAAAGTCTCGGAAGGTCTTAAATAACAATACTTGATCAGATAAACGAGCATTGGGTTTCTCTTGCATGGGAGCAATAGATGTGGAGCTCAACTCAACCCGAGCATTATTACTCGAGTCCCCTAACAACTTGCGCTTTGCAACCATTTGTGCTGTTGGTCCCAAATCCTTGACAAACAACATTAAGCTATCCTTGTAGCTATACTCTCCCCCATTCTTCATCATCTGCCACCAAGACATCAAATGCCAACCATTACTAAATTTTTATAAGAAACCTTAAAATGTGGTTGGATTTCTTATTATAAATTTCATCGAGCTAGAGTAAAGTAATTGTGAACATTGTTTGAAGATCGAGCTTTTGACTTGGAATAGAAAAAACCGAGAGTCATACCACAAGGGATGGTGTTGAGTTGTGTTGGAATAGGTGGTACAAGGATGAAGATGACCCATAATCATGCGTTTGGCGACGTTTACATGATAATATTGCTGATTCGACTAACCTGTCATCTCTGTCTTCTGTGACAAATCCACCCAACATCAATCGGTGTTGATGTCAAAAAAAAAAAAATCATAAATCGAGAGAGTGAGAGAGTGACAAATCCACCCAACATCAATCGGTGTTGATGTCAAAAAAAAAATCATAAATCGAGAGAGTGAGAGAGAAGAAAACCTCTTCCCCCTTTGTTGTTAGATGTATGACTAATGATATTTCGATTGTTGTTCCTATTGCTGTTGCACTTGGAAAAAACATTACGACGAGTTTTCGTGTCTTTGAGACACGTCTCTTTGTCGTTGCTTCTGTTCATAAGTGCTTTCCTCATCGATCTCCTTGTCGTACCCGAAAATTTAGAAACAAAGTTTTTCGGATCCGCTTTAAGGGCATCGAAAACCTTCTTTGCTAATTCGTATAGAACACGAGCCTGCAGATACATATATAATCTTTATCAAACCAGCTGTATGATTATTAATAATTTGATCAGAATCAAAAGTTTTACGTTCGTGATAGTTGATACCTGTTTGAAATAAACGGTGGCTGATGAATTGAAATGCATTGCATTCTCTGGTATCAAAAACAGGTCATGCTGCAATCAATATCCCAGCTCTAATTAGTTGGTCACATTGGATTGGACATTTTGATAGTCGTCGAATTAATTTATTAGCCTAACCTCGAATTGTTCAAGACTCTCGTACATCCCTTCGTGTAGTTTAGCCCTCATCGTCCCAAAATCCATCGGCTCTTTAATGATTTCAGAGTAATCATCCACCTTTACAATTAGGAAAAGGCAATAAACAAAATGCAGGTCTCACAATATATATTGTATATAGCACACATTGCTGCTAATTGAACAAAATATGGAAATTTACCTCGTCGGGATCAACTGGTTCGGCAAATATTTCATAATTGTCTCTCCTGAAACAAGAACAACACATGAGCAAGCTGGCCCAGTTAGATGCAAGAATCTGTTCAGATGTATATGTTAAAACTAAAACAGCTAATTACCTTTGCAGTGTATCGAGTACAAGCTCAAGTGCATGCTTTTCTGGCATTATCGATGCTTTGTCTGTTTAATTAGCCAAAAAACGGAAAGATTAGCTCCCTAAAAGAAGAATTAATGTCATAAGGGACAATGTTTACCAATTACCATCATGTTTTTGAATAGTTGTTTGAGATGAATCGCGAGTAGATCTCCACTCCACTATTTGTCACAACAAAAACACAATTAAAGTTATGTCACCTTTCTTCTCAATTCAAATGATCACACAAATATCATCCCCAAAAAATAACTCACCGCTATCAGTCGACCGATAATCATGTGCTTCTTCAGGATTGCATCTCCCCTGTATCCACATAAAAGTAAGTAGTCATTAGTTGGAATCATGTGAAATAAATAAATTAAAAAAAAAAAGTTGTCGATAAAGGAGTCCCGAGCGCTATATAATCAGGCTTCTATATTTCAAGTCATTATGGGCATTGTACTATAAAATGAAAACTTTGACTTAGATATTAGAGATACATGATTGTACCTTCCAAACTTGTTTGGCTAGTTTGGAGACTGTCGAGTCACCAAACTTCCGCTTTCTTTTGTGGATAGTCGATAACTGATAGTTAACGTTTGATGCTGAGATTCGCGGGCTCCTTCTCCTTATCCCTATCTCCATACTGTACTTGTCTCTAATTTTTCAGCATAACATGTAACCCGAAAAATTGAATACCATTAGTTTTCATGTCTTCATGATTAGGTGCTCGAAATTAGTATTTACGTATGTACCTGCAAGACATTGAAGTAGAAAGCTAATGTGCACTCGACTGCTTTAATAAAAAACAAAGATGAAAAAAAAAAGAAAAAAGTGATGTAAATGCCTGGTAGGAAGAGGTTGTTTGCAAGGCGAGACTAAGCATAAATACGAAGTGTAGGTCAATTACATCGAGCCACAAATACGCATCCGGTCATCCAACTCACCTTCCCCACAATCCGATACCACAAATTCCTCTACTTCTTTACTGGCTCGCTTGTACCTGTATGCTTGCGGACTGACTTAGGAAGTAGACCGAATAGCCGATATCCGACCCGTAGTCTCCGTGCTTTTCCTTTTGAACTCCGATTAATCCCTTCCCTTCCAAGGTCTCAACTCGATCTGGTTCCGAGATCTGGAAAGCGGTGGAATTGAAGCGTCACACGAAAACTAAGGATAGACGCGCTGGGATAGCAAGCAAGTTTGTTGAAAGGGGGGTAGGCATGAGAGGCTGGAGACACGGAACTATCAGCACTGTAAGCAGAAAGGACTAGAGCTTCCCTATCCATCTAAATGGGGGTCATCGAGCATCAGCATTAACAGAGGTTAAATATTGCTACAGAAGATCATCCAGATATGGCTAGTTTATTTCTGTATATGGACATGGATGATTCTGAATTTGCTCACACTTTTCAAATTGCCGTTACATTATGATCATTTGCTTCATCTGTGCCAGTTTTTATATGCTGATATATTTGCATTTATCATTAACTTGATTATCTTAGCCCTGTCCCAGCTGGGGTTTGAATGATTTTAATATATGATTGATATATAGTGTAGCCTCAAAGTATTGTGCATGGAAATTTGGTCAATTTGATCTTCAACAATTTATTTGGTTAATTTGACATGTATAATATTAATTTGGGCTATTTATTTATAGGGAAAATCCACAAATTCTAACTTATGTAATGAATTTTACATTTTTTTCATGTTTTGTTTATAAGGTATCCTTTGTTTTTTTTTGTTGGAACTTTCATCTTTACAATATCAGCACCTACTTTGTTGAGAAAAATTACTATTAATTTTCTGATCTTCAATGCAGTTTTATCTGATACCTTACTATATTGATTTTTATAATTAATTACCTTACCTTATTCCTTGATTACGACACACAAAAAGTAATTTGTCCGTTATAACGAGTTGGAGCTGAATATTATTTGAAAATTATTTATTTGATCAGAATTAATTAGGTTTGGACATGTTGAAACAAGGCAATTTATTTAACAAACTTCAAACATATTTTAAGTCCAATGAGCTATGGGGCTGTGGGGAAGGCTACAAGAAGCCATTAACCTTGGTGTTGGTGGAGCCTATTCGACTCTTTTTATGGTCAAACAAACTACTTATAAAAATTTAATTAAAAAAATAAATAGGACAACGTGAAAAGTGCACATGAAAAGTGCACCTGAACTTATTAGTTACCACAAGCTCAGCTCGTTTATAGTTTTTATGAAATTTTTTTAACTCTTAACTTAGTTTGATTCATTAAGATTTGATAATATAAATTTTTATGAAATTATTAAGCTCTTAACTAAGCTCGATTCGTTGAGGCTCGAGCTTGACTTGGTGTTCATTTAATTCGTTGAGGCAGCTGAAGTTTCCATTAGAATCATTGGCCCCAATGAACACGAGCATGACAGGGTTGCAACCATGGTACACCCGGTGTCCACTGTTGGGCAGCTTGGTATACAGACGGAGTCCTTTTCAAGGCCTATTTCAAGGTCGGGGTCTGGGGTTTCAGAGTTGTCCTCATTGGAAAGCCAAGTTGATTCAAGAAGTGATAGAGAGGCAGGAGATGGAGTTACGCGGGTGGCGAGTGCTGATGGTTCTGAGGGAGCTGGCAATACCAGGGATGCACAGTCTTCATACCAGAGATATGATATTCGCAGGCTGCTAGATGGATCGAGCAGGTCCTTCCTTTCATATTGCTTCTGTTGATTGTATTCATACGTCAGCACGTGGAAGGTAATTTTCCTTGTTACTTCTTACTTTCAGTTGTTTGACAGAATACATATCTGTTTTGTTGATATATTAAGATGTTATTTTCTCTTTTTACCTCATACTGTGTATGATATTAACTACCATCATGCTGTAGATACTTTGATGTCTTGTATCTTGCAATGCAAAATATATCAAGGTTTCATTCATTCTTTACCGCAATGTCACTTTCATCAAGTGTTCGGCCAGAACTTTAATTTTTCAGCTTTTACAGGGTATTCATAAGAAAAAGTTTTTCTTGGAGAAGATTTTTTTTTTTTTTTTTTTAAGTTTGTTTTATGGGGAATCATTCTTAGGGAGCTGTTGATGTATACATATTTTATTAACTTCAATGTGACAAAGTTCTTTTTTTTTTTTTCTATTCTTGTTTGTGTTTTTTTTCTTTTCTTTTTATGTTCTCATTTTTTGTTTCTTTTGTTTTGTTTTTTACTTTTTCTATCAGAAGCCATTTTAAATAGGTTCTTAACCTAAGTAGCTTTCACTTATATAATTATTATATATATGTATTAGGAAAAAGTTTGTTGACTGCTGCTAGATTTGCAGGATTCATCGTTACCATTTGGATTGCTGCCTTTATGTTTAAGTCGAATGATATTGTTCGGAAGCAGACGGCACTCAAAGTACTTTATATCCCTTTTTCGTTGATTGAGATATTTGGATCAAAGATAAAGTTATGGTTGGCACGGAGCTAATTTTTGTTTTCTTTTTAGGGTGAGAGGAGAGTATTTGTTCTCATAGGTGTGGTTGTTGTTTCCACGCTTCATATTGTTGGGATTTACTGGTGGTATCGGAATGATGATGTGCTATACCCTTTGTTGATGCTGCCACCAAGAACCATACCGCTTTTCTGGAATGCAATGTTCATCATCGTCGTCAATGGTGAGTGATATTTATTCAATTGTTGAATTCCTGGCATAGTTATTTGGCAGTGTATTAATATTATTTTTTGAAATATGGTATCTTTTTTCAGATACACTGGCCCGTCAGGCCGCAATGGTTTTCAAGTGTGTCCTATTGATATATTACCGAAACAGCAGAGGGAGAAACTATCGTAGGCAAGGTCAAATGCTAACATTAGTCGAGTACCTACTTTTGCTTTACCGTGCACTGCTACCTGCTCCAGTTTGGTATCGTTTCTATTTGAACAAAGAATATGGGAGCCTTTTCTCGTCACTGATGACTGGACTTTACCTGACTTTCAAACTTACATCTGTTGTTGAGAAGGTAGCCCTTATGTTTCCTACTAAATTATGTTCTCTTGATGGTGTCGTATTCTAAGTTTTTAGTGAATTTTTTCAGTGTTTTTATTTTATTTAATAATTTGAAAGATATTTTTAGTTCCTAATATGTTTGACTTTTAAAGGTCCAATCGTTTATCACTGCTTTGAAAGCACTTTCAAGGAAAGACATCCATTATGGAACCTATGCAACAACTGAACAGGTATCCGTTTTTTTTTTTTCTGTTCCAATTTTTTTATGGGTCTTCTCCTTGATGTTGAATTGTGCTAGATTTCTTTGAGCTACTGCTGCCTACATTTCATGTGGTGAACATGCTGAAATATTGATATAGTTGTGTTTCAGATCATTATGGTTGACCATTTTACAGTAATACAAGAACACCTATTCTCCATATCTGTTGTCACACATAACATAATGATTGTGCTTGGTGACAAGAAATGTACACTGAACTGAATTGTCTACTATAAACTCTGGTTGTTCAGCATCTTTGATAAGATCTTTGAATTTCTTATAATTTAATATTGAATTTGATGTTAGGTTCATCCATTGGCTAAATAAGAAGTCCAAAAGAAAAATATAATAAAGAAGAAAGGAAAAAAGTTCAGAAAATTTTGTTAAGAAGAGTTCATTTTTATTGCAGGTGACTGCGGTAGGAGATTTGTGTGCCATTTGCCAGGAAAAAATGCATGCTCCAGTTCTTCTACGCTGCAAGCACATATTCTGTGAGGACTGTGTGTCTGAATGGTTGGTTTTGTCCTGTTTCTTGTTTTGAAACTACAGCTTTTAAGTTTTAACAACTCATATCAAATAGATGAATGTAATTTTCTGTCCTTCGTTTTTTCTGATATTCCAAGAAACTAGTAAAATATTCATCCCATTCTGAAAATATCTTAAATTAAGGTGGATAGTGATTAGATGTTGATAGGAAAACATGATACAGGAATTTTTAATAATCCTAGCGTCCCATACTTGAAATGAATATGTTATCAAGTCCTGCCACCATGAGTTTTGATGTCATTTTCTCATTCATTCTAGTCCTACGATTAATTTTCTTTGTCTAGATTCATTGAGTTTCAGCTAGTATTGTCTCTTGGAAGCAATAAACTAAGAGAATAGTTAATCATTATATTTAAAAGCTTAAGAGCACCATGGGTAAATATTTGCCTTGCAATCACATGCGTGGAGCTGGCACTTTCATTTCTACCTGTTCTATTTTGAATTTCCTCGGTTGAATTTGTAGGCT